AAAAAGTGATACTGCTAGTCAAGTCAGCCAAACGCTTTAAATATTAAAATGGATGGGGTAAAAAGGGAACAATTGCGTCGGTGTGCAAAAAGTACTTTTTATAACATTTTCTTTTCTTTTAACTTTTCTTTCTAACTTGAAGCCATATGGCTTTTATTTATACTGTAACATAAAACAGCATCATCTGATTATTCAGCAAAAGTCGCTTCCTGAAATGAAATATTTAAAGTAAACTTTACTTTTCGAAACTTGACGTACGCTCACTGACGCTTACTAGTGTAGAAAACTAGTTTTTTCTTTTTCTACTCTCTCCCTTACGTCACACTAATTAACTGCACAAGATTAACAGTTAGCAAATGGAGGATAGTTTGATATGATCGAAAAAAGTACATCTAGATTTTTCAGCAGTGTTTACAAAGTTTGCTGAACAATCTTCTTATATTAATTTTTTACTTTATCGTCTGGCTGTTTAAAAATATATTTTCAGGGAATGTTGTTTGTGCAGTTGAAGTGAGCGAACAAAAAAGAGAAATTGAGCGGATTGAATTTGATTGGAGAAGAAAGTGAGGAGACGCAAACAAGTCTGAGACAGTTTTTCTTTCAGCCACAGTCATTGCTTTTGGTAGTGTCCCATGTGTGTCATCAACGCCGTTAGTTTTTCAAGCAGTAAATGATTTTTACTCTGATGAAACTGCTGCAGAAACTCAAGGAACCAACACTTGATTGCTGAAAAAGACTGCAAAATGCTAAGCCGTTGGCGAAACTCCTCCGGCAGCAGCTCGACTGACTCCCTGGCGGACAACCACTTTGGCAATGGGAACAACCTGGAACACCTGGCGATTGACGTGTCCAAGGTGAACCTCTCCTACGGCTTCGGCCCCTCCAAAGTCCTAGTGCTCTCCGATCTGTCGCTGGAGCTGCCCCGTGGCTCCATATACGGCCTGCTGGGGGAGAGCGGCTGCGGCAAGACCTCACTCATTCGCTGCATCCTCGGCACGCTCAAGTACCACTCGGGCGCCATCACCGTCTTCGGACACAAGCCCGGCGGCAGGCGGTGCGCAGTGCCGGGCCGGTGGTGCGGCTACATGCCCCAGGACACCACCTCCCTCTACCCTGACCTGACCATCGGCGAGACGCTGCTGTACTTTGGCAGTCTGTACGGCATGGCGGAGGCGGAGGCGACCTCTCGAGCGCAGTTCCTCATCACCTTCCTCAATCTGCCGGACGCAAATCGATTTGTGGCGTACCTCTCCGGCGGCCAGCTGCGGCGAGTCAGCCTGGCAGTGGCCCTCATTCACTCGCCGCCGCTGCTGGTGCTGGACGAGCCCACCGTGGGCATCTGTCCGCTGCTGCGAAAGTCCATCTGGGACTACCTGGTGGAGATCAGCAAGCGAGACCGCATGACGGTGCTCATCACCACGCACTACATTGAGGAGGCGAAGAACGCCGACCTGGTCGGCCTGATGAGAGGTGGCCGCCTGTTGGAGGAGGACTCGCCGAAGAAGCTCATCAGCAAGTACCGCGTGGAGACGCTGGAGGACGTCTTCCTCAAACTGTGCAGCAGAGACAATGAACAGATTGAACAGCGTTTCGGCGCCTCCACCAACAACACACTGACACAGGTATTGCTGCCANGGACTCGCCGAAGAAGCTCATCAGCAAGTACCGCGTGGAGACGCTGGAGGACGTCTTCCTCAAACTGTGCAGCAGAGACAATGAACAGATTGAACAGCGTTTCGGCGCCTCCACCAACAACACACTGACACAGGTATTGCTGCCACAATAGTCAAATTATGTCAAACGAACGTTTTCAATTTAGCAGCACCAGTCGACTTCGATCAACTCAACAAACGAGCCTGAAGAAATCAAGGTGGAGCCGTTAAAGCTCGAGTCGGTGAAGGTGCTGCCCACAAAACCGCTTTCTCAAATCGGCGCCATTGTGAAGAAGAACCTGCGAACGCTGAGTCGCTCTCCAGGCTATCTTCTCTTTCAGGTCAGTGTTGTTTGCAAATCCTGAACTATGCTAAGCTAACTTTACTTCTTTACTTCAGTTCATGCTTCCCGTGCTGGAGGCAATCATCTTCTGCCTGTGTCTGGGCAACGACATGAAGTCGATTCACATAGCCGTCTACGACGGTGACAACTCCCGCCTCAGTCTGGGCTTCCTGCGCGAGCTCGACCCTTCGGTGCTCATTCAGCAGGCAAAACCGTCCTCCGAACTGGCCATCAGCTCAGTGGCGCAGACGTCCAACGTGGCGGCCATCATCATCTCGCCGCACTTTGCCGACTGCATGGTGAAGCGGATCGCCCAGGCGGGCAATGTCGCCCCCGATGTGCTCTACAACTCCACCATTCACGTGATGCCGGACATGGCCGAGCAGTACCACGTCTTCTTCGCCTTCAAGGAGATCGTCCGTGCCTTCAATGAGATCACCCGACAGGTGCTGAAGGAGATCGGCCAGAACCCCGACATGATCGCCTTTCCGGTGCAGTACGGCCCGCCGGTGTACGGTCCGCCGGACCCGTCAGTGCACACCTTCCTCACGCCGGGCGCCGTCCTCAGCATCGCCTTCTTCGCCGCCCTCTCCCTCACCACCATGAACCTGGTGATTGAGAAGAAGCGAGGCCTCATAGAGCGGACCATCGTCGTGGGCGTGTCGCACTTTCGCATTCTCTTTTCGCACCTGGTGACGCACACCTTCATCCTGCTCATTCAGGCCATTCTCCTCCTGTTGATGTTCTTCACGGTGTACGCCATTCCGTACGCGGGCAGCATGACGCTCATCGCGGCGCTGGTCATCTCACAGAGCCTCTGCGGCATGTGCTTCGGCCTCTTCGTCAGCACGGTGGCCAACTCGGAGAACACGGCGACGATGCTCAGTCTGGGCGTCTTCTACCCGATGCTGCTCATCAGCGGCACCATGTGGCCCATCGATGGCATGCACGTCTTCTTTAAGACGGTCAGCCTCTTTCTGCCCATCACCATTCCCATACTGTCGCTGAAAAGTCTGATGATTCGCGGCTACGGACTGATGCACTGGGACGTCGCCAATGGCTTCGTCGTCACCTACACCTGGATTGCCCTCTTTATCGGGGCATCGGTGCTGCTGATGCGCTTCAAGAAGTAACTACTACTACTACTACTACCAGGCAGTTGCAGTTTAATTGTCAATTTAAAAGCACTTACTTTGTATAGTGTTTGTTTGCTGTTGTCCAGTAAACTGTACGGCGGGCGTTTTTTCTGCTGGTTTTTTCCAAACGCATTTGTCTATTACTGTTCAGCGTTGTTGGGTAAACAGTGTGTGTCCACTTGCAGCTTTGAAAATTGTTGTTACAAAAAGAGACAATGGCCACCACAAAGTAAACCAGCAAAAAATAAATAAAACAACAGCACACACAAAAACTTTGCACAATGTCAATGCTAATGAAGTGGTCTCATCAGGACACAGTTGCAGTTTAATTAATTGACAGTGGCACTTGAGTTGGCTCAGTTCATTGAGAATTGTGACGAGTCGGCACAAACAGAAGCAGCAGCACTACGGTCTGTTTCCGTTTGACAGTTGAGTGTTCAATTGTTCAGGCAAATGAGTGATGCAAATGGCTGCTGGCACTGGACAAAGTTTCGAGTGAGAGTTGGCAGAGGAAGAGAGGAAGACTGGGAAGAGAGAGAAGGAGACTGCAAGACTGGGTAGTGGCAGTGAGTGGGACACAATGGACATGCACTTCACTAGACTAGTGACTAGTGATGCCCTAACAAGGCTCGACACGGGTTGAAACTTTAAAAAGAGTTGTCTCCGACTGAGACGGCAATATTTTGCTCCCGGTTCCTGAACTCTGCTGTAGTAGTAGCAGTTCCTAGTACTCGACAGAGTCACCAGAAGGACACCGCAGAACAGCAACCACAGCCAGCAGGCAGAAGCAGCAGGAAGCAACAGCAGCTGTTGGAAATTCGAAACCACAAAAACAATGCACATAGAAAAATGGAGCTAGTAAAGTTTTCCACTGCGCTTTCTCAGGGAGCATCAACTTAATTATAGATAGGAAAGTGATGAGTCAAGTACAAGCTAAATTGGAAAAGGGAAGAAAATCATCTTCTCAACAGTAAGTAGGCAATAAAAAATGTATTGTAGGCAGCGATCGATTTGTATTGCCGCCGACTAATCTTGACATGTAGATGTCGAGATAGCAATCACAAGACATCTGAAACGATGTACGACAAGGGTAGGAAAAGTGTAGCGACGGGAGAAGAAGAGAAAGAGAAGCCGACACTGACACTGAGGCTTGAGAAAATCTTCACACATCCGACAACAGTGAACTTGCTGATAAACTTGTTGAGGTTGACGGTTGCAAAACTTCTGTGGTAAGCTAATTTGCTACTACTATCTCCTACTGTCGATGAGCCGAAGTTCAAGTTCAGAAAAGTTTAAATTAGCCGCCCAATGAAAATAGTACTGCTCGGCTGAGTCGGTGAGTTGAAATAGGACAAAATTGGCGAGAGTCACACAGTCACGCGCAAGTTTGTTGTTTTGCACCGTCTTCTCTTATTTTGATCACCTTTTTCGGCAAAAAGTATTGAGATCTGATCAAGTTCACAGCAGTACCTTCAGGTGTTTTTCATGTCATCAAGTACACATGAAAGACAAATGGTGTTACTGCTGAGCAGACTGTAAGAGTCCAAACGATCCGTTTTCATTTGAGCTTTTGTTTGTTTTTGTCCAGTTAAGGTGCAGTGTTGTCTCTGTGCAATCATTACTCTGTTTTCTGACATCGGATCGATGGTTGTTATTGCTTGTTGACAGACATCGGTCCACTGGTCAAAACCCATAACCTCGCAAGTTCCACCTCATTAACCAAGCTTTCGCCAGTACTTCAAGTCTCAATTTTGCCTACCTTGCTTGCCAAATCTCACCCCTACTAACAATTACCCTCAAAACATTTTGCTGCTGAGGAGAATGCTAACGATTTCTCGTGTCCATTTATCTGGTTGTCATTATTTTTCTTACCTAAATTCAATTGCTTTTATCCTGGTTGGTATTCCTCTCCTTTTGTCAATTCCCCAAACTTAAAAATACGCGCTTGAACATTGCCTGTGATTTTGCGTGCTGAATCACCACTCAAAACATTGGACTACGCCATCACCTTCACCATATCTTCCCAAGATGAAACGCCAATTCTGTGATCAAGCAAAAGACTCTGGTTTGCATTTTCATCCACTATTTCTTTTCTCAATCTTTTCTCTCTAATTCACTTTTTCCTGTACAAACATCTTTTCAAACTCCTTCATTGTTTCTTCTTTTTCAATACTAATTCTGGACTGTTCTTTCTTAACTTCTGTTCCTTAACTTTAAAAATGAAAAGATTAACTTGTTTTTTTATTTGAAACAGAGCTCACTGACGACGACGCGCTTGAATGTTCCTACAGTCAGCCTCTAATCAATACATGTTGCCGTAAATGTAAAAGCTGTTACGGTAAATCGGGTTCAATCAATCCACGACAGAGCGATGTTGCCCTTCGACTGAAGGAGAAAAGTAAAAAGAAAAAGGAGGCGGCAGAAAAGGAAGTGAATCAAAGTGCTCTCAAAGATACTTGCAAAAACGGGCAAACACAGCGAGCCTCAGAAGAAATGAATTCAGATGACTTGGATGAATACATTGCCATTTCTCAAACTGCTGGCTCAGGAGGCAAAACAAAGTTGAGATCTTCTTCAAACAACTCCTCTATTTCTGCCGATTTCGATGAGAATAAGTGTACACTCAAGGTAAGAACATAAAAGTCTAAATTTAGTTTTTAATTTGCTTTTATTTAGACTGACTGCAAATGCAAAAGTTGTCAAAAAATACAAAAACTTGGTGAAGAGCTAATTGCCGAAGAGGAAAGCTCCAAAAAGAAAAAGGCCAAAAAAAAGAAAAAGAAAAACGGCAAAAAGAATCAGGACACTGTGGAAGAGGACAACGAAGATGATGACACAAAAGTGAAACCTGAAACTGAAGACGAAGACTCGCATGAGCATGTAAATAGCGGCTCGCGAAATTCCAATTCAGTAGATCCAACATCGGTAGATATCAACCAATGGATCAAAGTGAGTGTTCTGTGAATGTTTGCTAAAAACATGTTTTATCTAATCTTGTTTATCTTTTGCACCAGGTAAAGAATAAGAACACCGCAAATACTCACAACTTGAAAAACTCAATATCAAAAACCTCCTTGTCAAGTAGAAGCTCATTAAGTAGTGGTTATACTCTTGTTGCTTCAGAGAACCACGATCAAAAAACAGAAATGGAATCAAATGGATTTAAACTAGTTGGTGGAAAAGATAATACTGAAAAGAAAAAAGGCCCCACTCTTGAAGGGGTCACAAAAGATCTTGAGTCAATGATTATTACTGATTTAAAAAATAGTCCCACTGCAACTGAGAAAGGTATGGCTAAAGCAACGTGATAGTCAGTTTTCATTATTTTTTGTAAACCCTTAGCGAGACTTCTCTCGATTGATGCCAACCTTGCGTACTTACGCGGTGAACTATCCGACGCCATACATCTGATCAGTCAAAGTATAGAGTGTGATAGTAAATCTCCAGAGTACTTTATTAACCGCTCTTTTTACTATGAAAAGTAAGTTGGCTCTCTGACTTACCGTTGTGTGTCTAACCTGCACACTTTTTTTGCAGGAGCAAGAACTACTCATCCGCTTTGAATGATGCCGAGAAGGCCATAAAGCTGGAAGAAGTCAATGAAAACTTTTTTGAATACTCGCTATACCGTAAGGCCAAAGCGTTGGCTGGCCTGAACCGCTTTGAGATAGTTGAGTCTGTTCTGAAGAGTATTACAAAAGTACTGTCAGCAAAGTGCAAAAACGACGTCCAAGCGTACAACTCATTTGTTATTGTGATTGAGAAGGAGCTGATGATCAACCGGCTGAAGAAGCTGGTCTCTGCCAACTACACACTTCCACTAGCCAGACTGTATGCGCTCAAGTTTGGCTCAATAAAGGCGGCAATAGCTGCAATTGGCGATAACATCCGACTGCTGGATGATGCCAATGCGGACAGCTTAGACTTGAAGCTGCATCTCCAGCTAATCAATGCACAGTTTCAAAAAAGTAAACATCTTTTATTTTATTGCATCTTTTTATAAAACTTTTTTTTGTATTTCTAGATGCTTCCACTGATAGCTCAGTGAAGGATTCAAAGCTACTGGCACTCATTAGAGCTTCACACCCGCCGCAATTGAGTGCCTCTCAGCATAAGCGAATTTCCAACAAAAGTAGTGCAAATCAAGATCTGTGGAACTTTAACGAAAACGACGAGGAAAGTTCTAGCGGCGATCGACCCCATTTGCTTCTTCGGGACTTTTGCGACACTGGGGGCACTCAGAAGATTGATGAGGAGGCCTTTCTCTCTCAGTATGACGATGATGATGACGACAGTGAAATATACTTTTCCGATGAAGATGAGTATGAGATGGTGTACTCAAACCCGGACAAGTGGAATGAACCAAAAGATATCTTAGTAAACACTGGCAATGCCCACTACTTCACTGATGAGCTCCGAGAGTAAGCACAATTTCTTATTTAATCCGGGTCTGGAATTCACTATTGGAACTGACTAATCAATGATTGTTGTTGTTGTTCTGTTATTATTGTCGCTCATTCAGACCAATCAACTCTAATGGACAGAAAGCTTTGTGGATCGGCAATGTTTCTCCGGAGTGCTCTCAAAACCTTGTTTCACATGTGTTCATGAAATTTGGCTCGGTTACCTTTTGTAACATCTTTCCAAATGAACGATCGAACGAGATTGCCTACCTCTTGTTGCACTATGATAATGATATTTCTCCCCGTCTGGTCACGACGTACTTTAAAGTAAGTTTTTTTAATTTATTGGACTCAAACGCCAATTGTTAAATATGCACTTTCTCTCCCTTTAGGATCAAGTGGTCCCTAAAATATCGAAGGACAATCACCCGCTGATTATTCGATTTCGAAACAAGAGCGACAAGGGCGAAGAGGGCGGCGACGGTGGTGGTGGTGGCGTACTGAACGCTAGCAATAATAACATCCCAAAGACTGCCCTGAACCCGGCGAGTCCGCAGTCGCCATCTCACCACCACCATCCCCACCAGCCCTACCACCTGTCCGCCCTTACCTCCTCGGCGAATAAGCAGCCCCTGCCTCAGGAGTGCTACTACTGGCGGACGACTGGCTGCGACCGTGATCGATGCTACTTCAAGCATATTCCCGCCCATAAGAGCATTGACAAGCAGCCGTGGATGCGCCGCAAGAACTGATATGCACAGTTGTCCTTTGTACTGCTATTTTATGCTTTATTAAAACAATTAAACATATATATTATTGACAAAACAACTCGTTCACTGAGATAATTACGAAACAGTCGTGTATTGAAGGAGGGGAGGGGGAATGTACAGGAAATATTGGTTTGGAGAAGGAGGGATAAAAAGGCCACTATTGAATAGGAAGTATAAATATGTTTGTTTGTTTGGGTAGAGATGAAAAGTCCGTCATTAGAACATAGTGAAAATGGTAATGGCATAATGAGTGTGATGTAAGCAATGAACGAATGCGAGGATGAAAAGTGTGTTTAGAAGCGTTAAAAGGATTGGGGTGGGGTTTAAGCGTGCATAAACTGCGACCCTGCTGCCACACCTGCTGGACGCACCCCCTGCTGGCCTGGCTGCATCAGTGGCTGGCCATGTTGCATCGCCAGCGTCGCCATCGGCGGCGGCTTTGGCTGTGCCCGGCCTGAAGAAAGGGTGATAAAGTGGTGCTGCTGGGTGGGATCGAGCACGACGATTCGTGTCTGATTGCCTGAGTGATCTTGACTAGGAACCTGGTAGGAGGAGTCCGCTTGGCGAACACTTTGCACCGTGTGCCACTCATTAGTGCTAAAGTTCATTTGAAAGTGCTCTTCCACCACCACAGTGACAGTACTTCCGGACGAAGTGCGGCGCTCTTCCAGTTTCTCCAAGTACCGAATCATACAGACCGGACCCATGTGCGGAGCGGGGTTAACCTGTGTTCCTGCCATAAAGCCAATAATGAGCGCTTTCTCAGGTCGGGTAAGGCAGTTGGAGGCATTGAAGATTGCAGTAGCCTGCTGAGTAATTTCTCTATTAAGATTAGTAAGATTTCGCTGAGGGTTAGGCGGCGGCGGATTAACTGCCGCTTGAGGTTGTTGCTGTTGCAGCTGCCCAGCTTGCATTTTGGTCGCTTGTCCTGGATTCATTTGCCCGTACATTCCAAACATGCGAGGTTGTCCTTGCTGCTGTTGCATGGACATATCAAATTGCATTTGCTGCTGATTTAGCTGTTGTTGCTGTTGCTGCGGATTAGGATGAATGACCGATTGCTGTCCTGCGGGTCGAGCCTGAACCTGCTGACTGAGAATGGAACTGTTGGCAGGGTTGTACATCAGTCGCTGCTGATGTTGCTGCTGCTGCTGAACTGAAGGTTGTGACTGCATCAAAGTCTGCTGAGGCCGAATAACTCCGTACATGGTATTGATAGGCGAAGTAGGAGTTGATTGCTCGGCAACATTCTGTCCCTGAGCCATTTTTTGCTGGGAAGCTGCATACTGGTTGGCAAAATTCTGATATGAATTAGATGTTTGCTGTTGCTGGGAGAGTTGTTGCATCGGTTGCAGCTGCTGCTGTTGCATTGGCGATTGCTGCTGCTGCTGCTGCTTACTGGACTTGAAGAAGTTTTGATTCGATAAGCCTGAGGACAGGGAGTTAGAAACACCGGCTGTTGGTACAGAGCTGAAAGAATTCGAGCNCTTACTGGACTTGAAGAAGTTTTGATTCGATAAGCCTGAGGACAGGGAGTTAGAAACACCGGCTGTTGGTACAGAGCTGAAAGAATTCGAGCCGTTGGAGGCAATACTTGTACTGTGTTGTGAGGTGTTTGGTCCAGCATTTGAAAGCAACGATATTCCCGATGACTTGAGCGGCCCTGATGAATCGTGAATAGTCCCGTAACGATTGGCAGGATGCGGAGAGTTGGTAGAGCCGACAAGTCCGGCGGCGTAGTCGGGAGTGGACTTTGAAGCAGTCACTCCGGTCATGTTGGGACGAGATGCATCAGTCTGAGCCAGCTCTCTCGTTATGTCGTATGGATCTTCTTGAGGCATGCTTTTCGAAGCAGTAGGCGATTCAGTTTCGGAAACACCAGACTTGTGACCGAGCACAAGAGCAGGAGGCGTCGTTGTGTTGGTAATTGCCGAGGAGCTCGCTGCACTTGAAGCAGGGGTCGCTGTGATTCCAATTGAAGGAGTCGTACTTTCTGGAGCATCGGAATTGGCTGCTTTCTTATCATCCGAAGCCAAGGTGGTCGTCTTTCTTCGCTTGGGATCTCGTACCGTTGACGGCGCTTCAGTAATATCCAGCAGTACGATTCCTCCGTCTCGCTTGGTGTTCATTGAATTAGAGCCCGAGCCAAGGGAGGCAATTCTCGAGAGACGATTCAAAGAGCCAGAAGGTGTCGAGGTTGATCCCAGTGACGACAGACGAGACAGGCCTGGCTTAGTGTACCCAGAGTTGTAGCTGTTGTAACCGCTGCTGGTACCGAACGAATTTCGACTAGGAATTCCCTTCAACGGCGCTACACAAATACAACCGATGTTAATGAGTAAGTAACGGGAACATTTGGGACATACTTGAATCGGTGGTAAGGCCACGACATCGAATGGGCACTGTTGGGCCAGTTCCAGAACGCTTTCCAGCTGAAGCGTCATTTGCTAGAAAACATTTACCATAGTTAAAACGAGTCACTATACACACACAAAAAATACTAAATCTCACCTTTCTGCAGTAACTCTGCTCTCAAAGCTGCCGACTTTGCCTTTCGTCGTAGTGTAAAGTGCTTTTCAGGCTGCGGCAATGAGCCATAGCATGACTGAAACACTGGGCGGTTTACGTAAAGGCACTCCAGAGGGAGAATTCCTCGATCCCCGTGCTTTTTGACTACAAAATACAATTGCGTAAAAAGAATGCAATCTTCGGAATAGTCTTTCTTACCTATCTTTTTAATTTCATTTACTAAATCCAAAAATGTTGATGTGTTTGACTGAAAGTCAAAGTTGATTGTTCCATGCCGAGGATAGTTGCGCAACATTTCTCCGATGACTGAAACCCACGGATCGTTGTCATCCATTGCAGACTCTAGGATCTTTTCCAGTTCTCCAGACCACTGAAATAATAAAAACACATGAGTTTATTGAGCAAAGGTAGATAAACACAAATTATCCGGCTTACTTCTTCGAGATTACGTCGTGAGATGTGAAGAAAAGTCAATAGTAACTTTAGTTTGACATTATTTTGCAGTTCGCTAAAACAGTCCTTGATTTGTCGCAAAATTTCCTTGTTCAGCTGAGATATTATGCTGCTATTATCTGTTGTGGGCAAAAGTTAAAGATACTCGTTGAGAGTGGAAGGAAACATCAGTGGAAACGCGGACTTACCGGACCACAGGTCGTTGGTCGTTGTTCCCAGTTTGTTGGTCAACCAAAGGGCAATGTCTCCGGTCTGGGAAGCCGAGGACAGCAGCTGGGGTCGATTCGCTGCTGGCGGAAAGCTACTTTGGCTTGTAGAGGCGCCAATGTTGCTCGCCGAGGAGTGGGAAGATGCCATCTTGCCGTGATAACCAAGTCGAAATTTGAAACTGCTGTCTCAGTAAAGTACACAAATTGTTTTCAAAAGATGAAATGTAAACTGTCGTTCACTGATGAAGAAAAAGTGATGTTGGCTTGCGGTGGTAATCAGCCCGATTACTGCTACACATGACCGAATGATGTAAACAAGGATGTTCAGTCGATGATGCTACACACAAACAAACAAACAAAAACAAACGGACCGATGATTAGCAATCAGCAGGCGTTCTGTTTGGAAGGTGGTGTTGTGATTGGGTTGTTCAGTCTACACTGGCATCACTTCGCTGCCGCCATCAAAGTGAGATCAGCGAGAAGTAAACATCAGGTAGTCGCGCACGGATAGAATCTTTCGGAAGAGAAAGAGCGCGGAGGCGCCCGCAAAGAGAAAGAGGAGCGAAAATGGAGCGAAGAGATTTGGTGGCTGCTGCGGCTTGAGAAGCTGAATCTCACAACAGCAGGACACGTGCTCTGTGGAAGGCGCTCACAGCATTACCTCGCCGAGGCGCGTCATCAACAAACCAGCAAGCAAGCAAAGACAGACTCTATCGTGAATGGCAGAATCAGAATATTCTCTTTATTGTAATCAAAGTTCAATTTTGTCCAAACAGACCAACAACAGATAGGGGAAAAACAATACTTTGGTGTAAGCTTCTAAAGTGCAGGTTTTAAATAGTTAGTGCTCAAGAATCTTGCTTCGGTAAAAATCATTAAAATCCAATCTAAACACGGGAAAAAGCCAAACGGAAATTAGTTGT